ACCCTTTTATCATTCGAGTTACCCTTTTCTGCACTTTTTCCAAAGCTATAATATCCTTTTTAAGGTGTGGTGACCAGAATTGCACACAGTATTCCAGATGAGGTCGCACCATTGATTTATATAGGGGCATTATGATATTAGCTGATCTGTTTACAATACCCTTCCTAATAATCCCCAGCATAGCATTGGCCTTCTTTATTGCAGTCACACACTGTCTCGACATTTTCAGTGAGTTATCTACTACAACTCCAAGATCTCTCTCTTGATCAGTCTCTGCCAGTTCAGACCCCATCAACGTGTATTTATATTTAGAATTTTTGGCTCCAATGTGCATCACCTTGCACTTGGCCACATTGAACCCCATTTGCCATGTTGACGCTCACTCGCCCATCTTTGACAGATCCCTTTGGAGTGCCTCACAATCCTCACTGGTTTTCACCACCCGGAACAACTTCGTATCATCTGCAAATTTAGCCACTTCACTGCTTACTCCCAACTCCAAATCATTAATGAACAAGTTAAAAAGCAGTGGACCAAGTACTGATCCCTGCGGTACCCCACTGCTTACCCCCCTCCACTGAGAGAACTGCCCATTTATACTCACTCTCTGTTTTCTATTAATTAGCCAGTTTTTGATCCATAAAAGGACTTGTCCTTTTATCCCATGATTTTTGAGCTTACTTAGGAGCCTTTGATGAGGAACTTTATCAAAAGCTTTCTGGAGGGACCATGTCTCAGTGGTAGAGCATCTGCTTGGCATGCAGAAGGTCGCCGGTTCAGTCCCTGGCACGGGCAGCGGAACCTGGAGAGCTGAGACCCTGGAGAGCTGCTGCCAGCTTGAGTAGACAATATCGACCTTGATGGACCGAGGGTCAGCTTCATGGTGCCACACGTGGGTTTTCTTTGGCAACCTGCAGACGTAAAGCGGTCATTTCTAGTCCAGGCTACAAGCCCCTCAGTAGATGGCAGGCTGGAGGCAACTCTCAGAACCCAGCTGTTGACCGGCCTGCTTTGCTGAGCCGTGGGTTGACTGATGGGTGAGGCTGTAGGTTAAGGGCACCGTTGTCTCATTCTGGAAAATATTTTGTGTCCGGTGTGTTGTTGTCGTAGGGTAAGAAGAGGAGAATGTCCTTTGCTTGGCGTGCCAGGAGCTTCTTTGCTTTTTAAAATTGCAGTAAGAGCTCATGTGTGCTGTGTGCCAGCCGCACTTAAGTGGGTGATCCACTGAGTCAAAGACGAGTCTACTAAAAGTTCTCTCATCCTTTGAGGGCCTTTTTGGCTTGATGTGAACATCAACGTAATGTAAACACGGTCTCTGGTGTACAAGGGAGGTATTGCTTCCTGCCCTGACCCAGATAGCCCAGGCTGGCCCGATCTCATCAGATCTCAGAAGCTCAGCAGGGCTGGCTCTGGTTAGTACTTGAATGGGAGGACCACCAAGGAAATTCAGGGTCGCTACGCAGAGGCAGGGAATGGCAAACCACCTTTGAACGTCTCTAGCCTTGAAAACCCTACGGGGTTGCCTTAAGTCTGCTGCGACGTGACAGCACGCACCACCACCATCGCATCCTGTGGGGTGTGCCTGAATATTCTGCTTTCATCCTATTGGGTGTCATGGGGTGTTTTGAAAACAATACAAAAACCTATCAGAGCTGTTCACTGGGGCATTCTCTGCCCCCTTTCCAGACTGTGCTCATATCCCGAAGAGCCTAAATCCCTCCCAGTCAGGAGGCAAACACACCTGTCTTCTTCGATCGCTGGGGAGGGGGCGCTGTTAGAAACCCCAATCGCCCTTTCTTTGCTTTTCATGCAGAAGGTCCCAGGCTCAGTCCCTGGAGGAGTCTCCTGTTAAAAAAGCATCAGGCGGTAGGTGATGCGAAAGACCTCTACTGGAGACCCTGGAGAGCTGCTGCTGGTCTGAGTGGGCACTACTGGACCAAGTCCGCTTTGTGTGTTTATGGCTCTATTTTTCATGAGTGTGGAAGCACCTTAGAGACCAACAAGATTTCCAGGGCATAAGGTTTCCAGATTCAAGGCTCTGCTCATCAGAAAATGACGCACATCTTCAGCATGAGAGAAAACCATGGTACAGCCCTGTGGAGTAGCTCAAAATCAAAAAGGGTAAAAAAAATTCCCCCCCAAAGTGATGAAATTAAGTAATAAAACCTCCTGACGGATGTCTCGCTGGGGTTGCTACAGGGAAGGCCCTGCACTGAGCGTCAGCAGCCTTTATCTCCTGAGAAGAAGGGTCCCAAAGCACCGCCACTCCGAGAGGAGCTGTTCCTGCAGATATCTCCATGATAGAGCCCACACTCTGCATGCAGAAGGTATCAGGTTTAGAGTCTCCGTATAGAATGGCTCTCAGGCCCATCAGTGGCTGTTAGCCCCAAGGTATAGATGGAACACTCCGTCTGGGGCAGTGATGCTCTGTATTCTTGGAGCTCTCTCCCCCCGCTGGTGGACCTCCTGATGGCCCCTGGGTTTTGGCCCCTGTGTAACACAGACTGTTGGGCTGGATGGGCCACTGGCCCGATCCAACATGGCTTCTCTTATGTAGGCTGGGAAAGCCCTGTTTCTGGGGCCTTGATGGGCTGCTGCCAGTCAGAGGAGACGGACCGGGCTAGAGGTCTAACACGAGAGACGGCGGCTGTAGATATTTGCAGGGATAGGTCTCCCAGGCCTTCCTCTTGTGGGGTTTTCAGGAGAAGATCTGCTGTGGATCCCAGAGCATCCTGGCAGCCAGTGCAGCAAACCAGGAACGGTCCTCCTGCTCCCTGTGGCCAGGATCCTTCCCCTCCTCAGTGTTGCCGGTTCTTCTCCCATGTTGCTCTGTGGGTGAGAGTGGGGAATGGGGCTAGAAGACGGGAGGCAGAAATGGCCTCAGTCCTGCGGACTCTCGCAAAGGGCTGTTCTAGGCAGCAAGAAAGCTCAGTGACAGGACATGACGGAGGTTTATAAACTTATGCATGGAGCAGAGAGAGTTGACAGCAGAGAACTGTTTCTCCCTCTCTCAAACCCGAGGGCATCCAATGAAGCTGACGGGCAATCGGTTAAGGATGGGCAAAAGGAAATACTTCTTTACACAGAGAGTGATTAGAATGTGGGATTCGCTGCCAGAGGATGTAGGGATGGCCACAGGAATCAACAGCTGTATAAGGGGGATTAGATAGATTCATGGAGAATAAGTCTATCAGTGGCTACTAGCCATGGTGACGGAGCGGGAACCTCCACATTCAGAGGCACTAAACCTCCGAATCCCACGGCCAGGAGGCAACATAAGAAGAAGGCCTCGGCCTCCGTGCCCTGTGTGAGACAGAAGGCTGGTTGGCCACTGTGTGAGACAGAAGGCTGGTCTAGACAGACCACTGGTCTGATCCAGCCGGGCTCTTCTTATCTTCTGTTCTTACTGGCCGGGCTTGACCCCTGGTTCCCGGGCTGTGGTGCATTTCCCTTCATGCTTAGGCAGCTCCAAGCCCTGGGAAACGCAGGGCCTCCGTTGGAGAGGACCCAGAGCCAAATCCGAGTCCACTCAGGCTCCAGCGCTCGTGTTCGGGGATGCGAAAGCCCCTCCGGAAATGGCTTGGCCTGCTTTCCCAGGAGACAGCGAATGGCCCCTGGGGCCGTGTGGAATACGTGCCTTTTTTATTTTCGGAAGCCGTCTCCCGAAATAGCCCGGACATGGGATTGTTGCTTGGCAGGCGATGGAGCGGAGCTGGCTGCCTGCTTCCTCGTGGTTTCTCAGCAGGCCTGGCTTCTCTGGAGCAGGTTGTCATACCTGTGAAGCTGTCATCTGGGCCGTGAGAGAGGGATGCCACAGTGCCCCTGCGTGTAGGCTTCTCCCCAGCGCCGAGGCAAGGCTGCCCGAGCCCTTGGGCACTCCGTCCATCGCATGCCAGTTTCTGATGGTCTGGGCAGCTGAGGGCTGTTTGCTGGCAGGATCAGCACCCAGGCATCGGGTCAGCTCCTCATTGCTAGCCCACACTTGGGGGCTGGGGGGAAGCCAATGGCTATGCCCACTCTTTGGAGGAAGTCACCGTGCTGAGTCCCCGAGCAGGGCTGTGGGCAGTCTGTTCCCAATTTGTTGTACTGCTTCAGACCAACATGGTAGACCAAGTGGACCCAAGAAGAACGTGACTCTGGAATCTGGATCTCTGCATTGTTTCGGGTTTTTATTGTGTGTTCTGGAAATCTGAGTGCCATTGTGGAGGGCGGGGCATGGCGCTGAAGTGCCTCCCCTGGGATTATTGGAACCCCTAACTCAGCGGTCACTCTGGCTTGCAAGACTTGGGCTAGAAGCTTGCCTTTTCATTTAAAAAACCCATCTTCCCGAAAGTTAAGCTTTCCAAGAAGCAGAATTTGGTACTCGGTGCCACATGATATACTTTTTCAGTGCTTCTGCAGAAACACAGCATGTCTGCACCCTAAGGTGTACATTTCACATGCATTACGTGAAATTAGAATCTCTGGTTCTTGGAATGCGAAAAACGATCTCTCTGCAGATTTATTTATTTATATCTGGCTTTTTACCCAACGGGGACCCAAAGCAGCCTAGGCCATTTCCCTCTCCTCCGTTTTGTCTTCACATTATCCCTGTGAGGTAGGTTAGGCCGAGAGCATGTGACTGGCCCAAGGTTGCCCAGCGAGCTTCCGTGGCAGGAGTAGGGATTTGAACTTGGGTTTCCCAGATCCTAGTCTGACACTTTAGCCTTGACACCATGCTGGCTCTCTGAGGCCCCTTGCCTTTGCAGCAAATGTGTGCGTGTGAACGAAAAAGGAGAGACCTTTAAATCTGTCAGTCTGGCCCTGCGTGTTCATGGTGTCCGTCTTCTCAGCTTGCAGCTCTTTGGTGCAACAGAAGATACATCTTGAAGAGCTGTCGGGGACTTGGAGGTCTCTGTGCTCCTTGCCTCTGCACAGCTCTCTTACTTGGGGCGTCTCGGTTGGGCTTCCTTCTCCGGGGCTTTCTTGGGATCTCAGTCTCTCCTCTCCTTCCTTTGCAGCTGGATCCCCAGACAGTGCAGACCAAGAACTGGCACATGGATGTGATCGAGATGAATGGGGTAAGGAGCCAGTGGAGATGCCCGCTGCGCCCCTTGGTGCTTGCCCAAGATTTTGCTCCTGCCTGCATTCCCCTGCCCTTCCCAGGCCCTCCCTTCAATCCAGAACCTGTGGATCTGGTTGCCCTCTGATGCCTCTTGAGGGGGCTGGGCACAGTGCTGCAAGTATTGTGAGTTGCGGGCCCTGAAAGGGCTGTTTCAGAGCCATTTCACTGTTGGTATCCTTGCAACGACCCTGCAAGGTAGGCTAGGCTGAGAGCAAGTGTGTTAAAACATTCTCCACTCCTCCATTTTATCCCCACAACAAGCACCCTGTGAGGTAGGTAAGGCTGAGAGTATGTGACTGGCCCAGGGTCACCCAACGGAGCTTCAATGGTAGCGATCCTAGCTCCAGATCCTCCTCCGACATTAACCAGTGCAGGCCCTTTTTATTCAGGGGGCATTTAAATTTCTAAGGGGGCAGTTAAATTACAGTTAATTAAATTAATCCGAGTGCCTGTCTTTAAAGGGGGAGGCTCCGAGCCTGTTTCCAGCCCTTCCTTTCAAGGGACAGGGCAGCCAGCGCATCAGGTCCTAGGGGAAAAAACAGCTCAGAGGGCATTGAATTGCCTCCAGAAGACATTTAAATGCCTTCTGAGTTCCCTTCGACAGGGCAAGAGAGCTTAGAGGGGCACTCAAGAGTGGCACCTTCAATACATCTCCAATCATCCCCCCTTGCTGCTAGACCAGTCCTGCTGTACACCACCCAGGTCATGGTGAGTCCTTCAAAAGCAGTCCCATGAGCCTTTGGGAAACATGCAAATTAATTTTGTGAATGAGATTATGAGAACTCCAAAGGCATTTAAATGCCTTCTGAGCTGTCTTTTCCCAGGTCCCAATTCCACAGGGAGAGGGAGGCCTGAGGGCAAGCTGCAGGTAGCAGGGGTCTCTCCTCCAAAATAAGGTTTCTGGCAGGGCTGTTTGTGGGGCGGGGCTTTTAATTAAGGGGGCAGGGCCCCAAAATGCCCCACTGTAGCTACAGGTCTCACTAGTATACCATGCTGAGTCAGGATTTGAACTTGGGTTGCTCCAGGACAAGCCCAACACCCTGCTGGCTACCACTGTCATGGATAACTGTCTGCCTTTTGGGGAACTGAATACAGAGAATTGGGGGAGGGGTTGGGGCTACACACGAAATAAGCACAGCAAGTTGGGAGTCCCACTGTCGCGTCACACAGGGAGATGTGTGTCCTAGAACCCCCGCGTACATACAGACACCACAGGGGAAGATCAGTGGTGCTGGCTAGTTGTCTTTCTGGGACGTTTGTCTGCCGTTGCCCATCTTGTCATTGAGGAAGCCCCGCAGAATACACTAGAAAGGGACCTCAGAGTTGTCCAGAACTCTGTCTAAAAGCCATTGTGCCACGAACGCCACCATGACTTGGCAGCTGGCATGAGTTAGTTGGGCCAACAAAGGCAGGGAGGAGCACTGAATGGGCAAGGGGGGGGTGCCCCCTTGCTGTGTGTGACCCCCCGGCATTCATGGCTCTCCCTGCAGATCAAAGTGGAGTTCTCCATGAAGTTTACAAGCCGGGATATGAGCCTCAAGAGGACCCCGTCGAAAAAGCAAACAGGAGTTTTTGGAGTGAAAATCAGCGTCGTCACCAAGTAGGTTGGGAGCAGAGCCTGGGGGGGGGGGGGGGGCGTGTTACCCCGGGGGGGGGAGGGGGGTAGTGTCAGGAAGGAGAGCCCAGATTCCCAGCAGCGTTGCTCCACATCACCCTGCGCTCTCCTAATCCCAGGTCTTCCTTCCCACTAGGCGGGAACGCTCGAAAGTGCCATACATCGTACGGCAGTGCGTGGAGGAAGTGGAGAAGAGGGGCATTGACGAAGTGGGCATCTACCGCATCTCAGGGGTGGCCACCGACATCCAGGCCTTGAAAGCTGCCTTTGACTCAAGTGAGTTTCTGCCTCCTGCTGCTCCGGGGGGGGGGGGGGGGGGGGCTGCTCTCTCTTGAACATTCCCGCATGCACACTCCTAAATACACAACATCTGGATCAGCATCCCATCTTGTTCAGCCTCCTGTTTCCAAAAGCCCAGGTGCTTCTGGGAAGCCCTGCAAGCAGGGCATGAGGGTAACAGCCCTCTTCCTATGGTCGTAGTGTTCCGAGACTGCTTCTGAGCGTGTCTGTCACCTTTTTATCTTGCCCGTCCTCTGAAGGACAGGACAGCATGCACCATTCTCCCATCACTTGCTTATACAACAGTCCTACAAGGTTGGCTGCCCTGGCAGGGATGGCTCAGCCTAGCCTGATCTCATCAGATCTTGGAAGACGAGCACGGTAAGCCCTGGTTAGTACTTGGATGGGAGACCACCAATAGGGTCGCTGTGCAGAGGCAGGAAACAGCAAATCACCTCTGCTCATCTCTTGCCTTGGAAAGCACACGAAGGATCGCCATAATTCAGCTACAACATGGCGGTACTTCCCCTCACAGCTATGAGGTAGCTTAGGTTCAGGGAGAGTGATTGGCCCAAGATCACCTAGTGAACTTCATGGCTGATCTCTGAACCCTGATCTTCTCCACTCACTGCATGGCGTTGGATCTGCATCTTGGCTGAAAGCTTCTTGTAGACCAGTCCTTTGTGATATGCAGGGGTCATTTCGTAGAAAAAGAGGTGCAGGAGCTCATTAGCATAACTCATTAGCATAACTTATTTGCATATGCCACACCCCCTGACATCACTGGAAGTGTGTCAGAAGGCAACACCCACCACTCAGGTTCCACTAGACTGTTTTGGATTGCTAGCTATGGGGGGGGGGCATGCAGATCTGTCATCGCAGAGGAGGGAGAGCTTGTACCTGAATAAAACTTGGTCTTAAAGGTGCCACTGGGCTATTTTGGACCATGCAACTTACCTGGCTGCTTCTTGCTCTTACTGAGGGCTGCTGGGAGCAGGGGGTGGGGTTTGTTGCATGTGCCCACCCCCTAGGCTCTTTACTGCCAGAGCTCCGCTCCTGTGTGCTCCTGCGGGAAATGACCCCTGGTGATATGTCTTTTCAAAGCCATCTAACCAGGGGGTTGACACCACATCTTGTCACTGCAAAGCCAGAATGCTGAAGGAAAATGGGATTGCTTCAGCAGGGCTGTCAAGTGCCCAGTTGGGCCCCCAGATTAATATCCCACATGGTACCCCCCCATATGAGCCTGATTCAAACCAGATGATGTAATAAAACAAACAACTTGCCTTCTTGACACCATGAATAAAATAATGTTTATTGGGTAAGAAACAGTAAAGGGAAATGGGCAGAATTATTTACAATAAGGCATGGTGCAAAAAACTGAGCAAACGGAATCAGACAAATGCCCCAGCCACGGGATGTAGCCTGAATACTGAAGTGCACTGTGAATTCAGCAGAGATGAGAGACACAGTACTTGCAGATAAGCTGCACTGAATGAAATGATGGATCAGTCTCTCTCAAAAAGTACTCAACTGAAAGAAATACTCTAAAATATTTCTAGTTCACAGCAACATAAAGATGCTTAATGGGGAAGGGAAATTGGGGAGATGTGAAGCATTGGTCGTATCCTCCATGGAGAGGAGGCACCTTAGCTGAGTCCCCCCCCCCCCCCATCTGTCCCACAGTGGCCATTTCCTCCCCACCATCACAGGAGGCTTTCACATTTTTAAAGATGACACTAAAATATCATTATAGCAGTATAGTGTTATAACAGATATGTTTACCAGGTTCTCTGAATTGCCAGCTTTCTATTTTATTACTATTAAAAAATAAGTCTCAAGCCTTTTCCACTGCAGAGATATAAGGGAAAAGTCATATCTCTGCAATGGAAAAAGCTAGAGACTTCCCTTTTTTGGGGGGGGGGAGGCAAGCTCTTATCTTATTTTTTTTATACAATAATTTTTATTAAGTATATGAATAATAAACATACTGTGGATAGTTGAACATATTGTGTGATTGTCAAGTTTAGGTGTACAGACATATTTGTGGTCTTCGAACAAATAAAATACAGGTAATGTCAATTTGTGCAGAGTATGAAAGCCGGGAGTTCAGAGAAGCTGATCCACATGGGCCCCTGGAATTTTGTCCCCCCTGCCCCCTCCTCTCAGTGGCCCTGTGCTCCAGCAGGACCACTCCTCCCTCTGTTCCTTTTGAAACCCAGCATCCTCTCTCGATTCTGCTGCAGATAACAAAGACACCCTGGTGATGCTCAGCGACATGGACATCAATGCCATCGCAGGCACCCTGAAGCTATACTTCCGTGAGCTCCCAGAGCCCCTCTTGACGGACCGGCTTTATCCCGCTTTCATGCAGGGCATCGGTAGGAGCAAGTTTGTATGTAACGCATGAGGAGAGTGGGCTGGAACAGAGTCTGGAGGCCTTTTCATCCTCCTCTTGAGGAACTGGCAAGGCAAGGGGAGGCCTCCCTGTCTGTTTATGTACCGGGAGGCCTCTATATATTAATAACTTTAGCTGGTGCTCAGACATCCTTCCCTTTGTCAACTGCTTTTCACATTCTTTCCGCCTTTGGAAATGGAGATCAGGACTTGTGGGTGGTGGTGGATCCTAGCTGATACCGTGGAAATGGAAACCAGGACTTGAGGTGGATCCTGGTTGATACTGAGAGAGATCAAGAGTGGTTTGGTGATGCTGTCCAGTTGGGTTTATTGGCTCTTTGGGGTCTAGGGATAGATGTACCCAGGACAGTCCTTGGTAGTCCTTGTCCTCAGCCTGGAGGTTCAGAATAACAATATAGAGTCCAATTCCTTTTTCACCTCATCCTTCCTGGATTAATTAATCTGCCACATTGTAATTCCCACCTTCTTCCAAGAAGGTTAGAGGGATGTCTCCCAACAATTCCATGAGGTCTTTTTAGACTGAGAGTGGGAATGGCCCATACCATAAGGGGAATAAGGCGCCTAAAACGGAATTCGAATACAGGTCTCCCCAGACCAAATCCAGCAGACTCCCCTTCTCCCTATACTGGATTGCGCCAAGAGCAACATAGAGTTTTGCAGTCCAGCTGGTTCTGCAGCATAAGGAAGACTGGGATGTGCATTCCTCAGCTCTCTCCAACTTTGTCTTTCATCTCCAGCGCTCTCTGACCCATCGGCCAAGGAGAACTGCATGATGCATCTTCTGCGCTCCCTGCCTGACCCCAACCTCATCACTTTCCTCTTCCTGCTGGAACACTTGAAACGGTAATTTCCTCCTCTGCAGAGCAGGAGGGGGGGAACTGTGAACAGGATCCAGGAAGTGGGCCTGCGCGGGTTTGCGCTGCAGCAAAATGAAAGAGACTTCACCATTCAAAGGCCTCCTTAGCAAGACTGGGGGGAAATGCATGCGGTTTGAAGGTCAGGGCTACAGCAGACGATGAGAGAACAGAAATGGAGATGTTCAAGTGGCAACATGGGAGATGGGGCAGATCCCCCCCCCCCCCCCCCCCCCCGAGGAGCGTTTATTTCAAAGGGGCTTGTACGGTAGGACTTCCTAGTGAGTTTCTATCTTCTGTTAGTGGGAAGGATGTCCACCCTTTTTGGGATTTTTCTTCTTGGGCATCGCAGCCCAAGTCTTGGTAAGGCAGAGGGTGCTCAGAATTCCCGTTTGTAGGCGTTCTTGTCTCCTGAGCCAAAAGGAAATATTTCTTCACACAGCAAGTGGTTAAAATATGGAATTAGCTGCCAGAAGATGCAGTGATGGCCACAGGCATAGACAGCTTTAAAAGGGGATTAGACAGATTCGTGGAGGAGAGGTCTACCAGTGGCTACTTGCCCTGGTGACTAAAGGGAATCTCCATGTTCCGAGGTACTAAAACTCTGAATCCCAGTGCCAGGAGGCAGTACCAGGGGAGGTCCTCAGCCTCTAGGTCCTGTTGTTGTTCCTCCAGAGGAACTGGTTCGCCACTGTGTGAGACAGGATGCTGGACTAGACGGACAATTGGGCCCGATTCAGGCAGGCTCTTCTTATGTTCTGAAGGTTCAGGCTCTCATCACAGGTCTCCCTGAAGAAGAAATTCTGAGGTTCATCCTGTGGAGAAATTTGAAAAAAGCAGTTTGTTTGAGCATAGGACAAAAGCTGGGCATGGCAAAAAAAACGGGGCTTTTGACTTGTGCCAACTCCTGCTTCACTTCTTAAATGTGTAAAAACAGTGACGTGACTTTGGGGGTTCTCTCTGGTAGCGAGTGAAGACGAGCCCTCCTAGATTTTATGCCCATTTGGCAGCAGAATCGTTCTGCGGTGGGCAGCTGCCGCTCTCCCGCCTGTGTCTGTTTTCAGCATCGTCACACTCCACCTTGACCAAGAAAGAGAATCCAGGGGCCTCTCTGCCTCGACTCTTCTCGAAAAAGGTGGACAATAAATAAATAGGCCTTTGGAGAGAGGGCTAGTGGATTCCTCACTGGCTTCCCAGGAGCACTGTGGCCTCATTAATTGGTAGGAGAGAAGCAGGGACTGTTGTTTCCCCTCAAGTTCGGCGGGGCCAAAAAGAAGAACACGACTGGTCTCCTGGCCTTGCTCAGGCCTTGCGCTTCTGCCGAGGAATTGTTGTAGGAGCTGTGGGTCGGCGGGCGGCCGCACTGGCCAAAAACACGCTGAGGGGAATTTGGAATCGGCGGCTGGAATCTTGTGTTTCTGGCATGTTGTTCTGTTAGGTCCCAAGCTGGGAAGAAACCGGGGGGGGCGGGGGGCGGCCTCAATTGAGCCTGAAAGGAAAATCCATTTGGCTTCTTCCTCTGAGAAGAGGGCACAGCCAGTTCCCACATCTGTTCCCCTGGACGGCACTCAAACTCTGTGCAGCTTGTGTGTGTTTTTTCGGGGGAGGGGGGGGGTGGAGATTACAGCACAGCTGTCTCCAAACATGGCAATATTTTGATGCTGGTTTCCATGGCAGTGGCTGGCTGCAGCCCAGCATGGCCAGTGGTCATTTCCAGGGAAGGTGTGCGGGAGGGAATTTGGGTGGCTGAACCTGGACAAAGAGGGTGGTGTGTGTGTGTCTGTGTGTGTCTGTGTGTGTGTGTGAGATGGCTACCACATCTGGCCCGGGAGGGGGGAGGGGTTGTATCATCAGGTCTGTGGCTGCCACCTCAGAAGCTGCACCGTACTTGAACAGCAGGGCCAAGGAGAGGGGAAAGAGAGGGCTGGCTGACCAGAGACCGGCTCTGTTCTGCTCTTTCTCTCTTCCAAACGGGTGAGCCACTTTGGCGTAGTGGTTAAGTGCGCGGACTCTAATCTGGGAGAACCGGGTTTGATTCCCCACTCCTCCACTTGCACCTGGCTGGATGACCTTGGGCAAGCCGTAGTTCTGATAAGAGCTGTTCTCGAAAAAGAGCAGTTTCTGTCAAGAGCTCTCTCAGCCCCGCCTACCTCACAGGGTGTCTGTTGTGGGGAGGGGAAGGGAAAGGAGTTTGTAAGCCTCTCTGAGACACCTTTGGATAGTGAAGGGCAGGGTATAAATCCAATCTCCTCCTCCTCCTCCTCCTCCTCTTCTTCTTCTCCTCCTCCCCCTCCTCCCCCCAGAAAGGCCTTTCCCACTTCGCCCTCTGCCAAAATGATGAAGGCCTGTGAAACTAACCTCTTTTTTTCCCCCTCCCCCCCGGTGTGTCTTCACCGCCCAGGGTGGCTGAGAAAGAGCCCATCAACAAAATGTCGCTGCACAATCTGGCCACAGTGTTCGGCCCAACCTTGTTGAGACCTTCCGAGGTGGAAAGCAAGGGGAACCTCAGTTTGGCATCAGACATCTGGTCCCACGACGTCATGGCACAGGTACGGGGAGGACTTGGGGCGGTGGTGAGGTTGGAGGGAGAAGCAGACGCCCTCTGCTGGGCCATGTCAGAACCCACAGTCAACAACGGAGTACACACTTCATAGAAATGTTATACTTTTATTGAAGAGCCATAGATGCATTAACACAGTCACTGTTAAGAATAACCGTTGCCTATTCACCCTACTGAGATATAGGGCATTCGTATGCACACCCCCCCACTGCGCTGGCCAATTAGGCACCCTCCCGCGTGCGGGCTAGAGCTGGTAAGCGTTACTACTATGCGAAGCTGGGAATTGCTCTGCTTCCACGGTTGGGAGACAACACACCTCACCTCCTGTTCTTCTTTAGAGATAAGCATTACTGCGCCAAGCAAGAGACAGGAATGCGAAAGCAATTTACACAGACACTGAAAGAACATCCCCACCCCCATGGCAGCATAGCTGACAGGCCACCGCTCAACCCTAGGACTCCTTCTGCGGAAGCAAGGCTTCTCCAGAAGGACAATCCACGTGACGCCACAGTCCTTGGGGCCACCCTGAAGACTTTGCAGCAGACGTGCAGTGGGAGTCGTGTCTCTCCCAGAAGCATGTCGGCCCAATTCTGATTGCGACCGTGGAGAACGTAGAGATGGGACTTCAGCCTTTCTCCTCCACCCCTTTTTTGTTTTCTAAGATAGCCCCCGGAGCTGCTGTTTTGCTCCATTTCAAAAACAGTGTGTAGCCATGCAAGTTATGGAATTGTCACAGCAGAGCAAAATAGTGCCTCCCTGGGGGCCATTTCAGGATGGGGGGGGGGGGGGGACTGAACCCCGTTCTCCACAAGGGGCTTCCCTCTCCCGACCTTCAATGGGGCTCCTTTGGTGCCAGCGCCGGTGGTTAGGAGTTTGGGAGTGCTCCTGGACTCCACCTTAACTATGGAGGCCCAGGTGGCGGCCACTGCCAAATCAGCCTTCTACCATCTTCAGCTGGCTCCGCAGTTGGTCCCCTTCCTTGACCACGATGACCTGGCCACAGTGATCCATGCGACGGTCACCTCGAGGCTAGACTACTGTAACGCTCTCTACATGGGGCTGCCTTTGTCGCAAATCCAGAAGCTGCAGCTAGTGCAGAATGCTGCAGCTCGGCTGCTGATGGGTCTCGCTAGGCGGGAGCACATCCGGCCTGTGTTGAAAGCACTGCACTGGCTGCCGATAACGTACCGGATTCGCTTCAAAGTGCTGGTTCTTACTTTTAAAGCCCTATATGGCCAGGGTCCAACATACCTAAGGGACCGCCTCTCCCCATATGTTCCCCCAAAGGCACTTCGGTCAGGGTCTCAACAAAGAGGCCAGGTATGCTGTAACCAGGGCCTCTCGGTGGCGGCTCCTACCTGGTGGAACAAGCTCCCGGAGGAGATCCGGGCCCTGCGGGACCTTGCACAGTTCCACAGGGCCTGTAAGACGGAGCTCTTCCGCCAGGCTTTTGAGTAGGAGCCGCCACCGCCACCACACTACTCCACCACTGTACCAGCACTACTGTATTATTAGATAACATTGGGGTTTGTGATGGCCCTGTGACAAGATAGTATAATATCACGTGGAACCATCCCATTGAACTGAGTCTAACATTCCCGGGATACCATGGAATTGGGACTACCATTCCCAGGATACCATCTTGCGATTGAAGATCTTTTAAAACAACTGGAGCACTTTATGCTGTTTTAAATGTTGGTTTTATCTTGTTTTATTGATTGGCATTTTTGCCCTATTTGTGTTTTAACTATTGGCACATGTTGCCCTATTTGTGAGCCGCCCTGAGCCCGTTGCGGGGCGGGCGGGCTATAAATTTGAACAAACAAACAAATAAATAAAAATAACCACGGTCGCAGTCAGAATTGGGCCCAAGTGCATCTGGGAGGCACAGAATTGCTGCTGCATGCCTGATACAAAATCCTCATAGCAGCCACAAGGCGTTTGTATTGAGGGTGAAAAGTACTGACACTTACTAGCGATTTCAGCCCTCATACTTTATTTCAGCTCAGAACAAGACAAGAACTACCAGCTCGCGGGCCGGTTTCTAAAGGCAAACAACCCACACCCAAAACACCCCCCCCACACACACACACACGTTATAGGTTATTTACAGTGGCTGAGAGTTCCATAGGCTCTCGGCCTGGAGCCTAGCCCTCCGATTGGAGCGGGCTAGGATCCGCTTGGCCCATTGTTCCTGAGAGCGAAGCTTGGTCACTTTGCATGACCGCGTGGCGACCAAGCCGCACATGCAGTCGGAGCTTGATACGTTACAGAGGGACTTGGCCCCCCCGGGTAGCACTGTACTTGTCAAACGGTGAAGACACAGCAAAGCCCAGAGATGCTGTTCCCTGTCATTCCCAAGGACTTCTCCCCCCCCCCTGTTGAAGAGCCCTCTAATGAAACGTTCTCTGACGGAATAGTGCAATGCTTTCTCAAAGCTGTGTTTTAAAAGAGTCTTGCTGCAGTGAAGCTCTGTGGTCCAAGACTCAAGGGTGGAAAGGCTTGCCACTCAGTACTTGGCTTAGTGGGCTGGGAGGATACAGTCCATAGGTTCTGCAGTGGACACTTACAGCCTCCTGCTATACACACTTATTCACAAGGAAGCCTTGCTGGGTTCAACCTGTGCTTATCCCCCAAGTATATTTGTCTAGGATTGCACCCAGGGTGCAGTAGCAATCTACTGTTGAAAAGGTTAGTCTTTATAAAGTTTTTAAAATATCTTACCCTATTGCTACTTCATTATGTTATAGGGAATGTCCCGTCCCCCCCCCCTTTAAAAACAAAAATGAGTTTCTTCTGTCTGTGTGCTAATTCTGAAATCCACATATCGTTTCCAAGCTCAGACAATATAAAACCTTCCAATGATTACTGCAACACTAACAGTTTTGATTCTCAATTGTTTTATTGCAAAAATGATAGGTACCTTAAAGGTTCAGCAACTCCACCTGTAATGCTGAGTAGATAACGTATACTTATGACTTCAATAAAACAAAGATACAAAGGGACAATGTGTACATGCTGAGTTGTACACAGAACTAAAGTCTGTGTTCTCAAAGTAGTAAAGTGTGTTTAGGCCTTATAAGAGGGGAAGCATTAACTAGCATTCCCAATGTTCTCCATTTATAGGTATTTCCCCCACACACACACACCAAAAAAATGGGGTTAGGGGTTTAAAGGTTTACCCCTCCCAGATGTAAAGTGTAAAGTGAAATTAGCCCTGTAATACAAGTCAATCTTAATTCTGTGTTTGATTTGTTGGCAAGTCCCTCTCTTTAATAAATTGTGAACACATTGGCTCCTCTGTCAGTCCTCTCTGTTTCCTTTTTAATTGTTTAAGACAGGTTTAGCCCTTTAATGCATTAACTCTTCAATCTGTTGGGGGGGGGGGAAATCAAAATGCTCTCAGGGGTGAGGAGGGAGGAGTCCCGGAGACAGCTCAGGCTTACCAGCGGTAAGCCCAGTCAGCTTCTTTTGTAGACACACAAGAGATGATTTTTTAAAAAATAACTGTTTTTCTTTAATAACTTGACCTTGGAACTGAACTCAGCGAGGCCAGTGGCAAACCAGCCACACTGCTCTATAAATCTGTCCTCACTCCACTTCTGAGAGCCAGTTTGGTGTAGTGGTTAAGTGCGCGGACTCTAATCTGGGAGAACCGGGTTTGATTCCCCACTCCTCCACTTGCACTTGGCTGGATGACCTTGGGCAAGCCGTAGTTCTTGTCAGAGCTGTTCTTGAAAAAGAGCAGTTTCTGTCAAAAGCTCTCTCAGCCCCACCTACCTCACAGGGTGTCTGTTGTGGGGAGGGGAAGGGAAAGGAGTTTGTAAGCCGCTCTGAGACACCTTTGGGTAGTGAAGGGCAGGGTATAAATCCAATCTCTTCTTCTTCTCTCTGTGCTGTCTAGCAAGAGGAGCTGTTTTAGGTGCTAGTTTCGTGGCAAAAGGCAGACTTGCAAGGGCTCTTGGGACACTCTTTTCTCATTGGAGTTATTGGTCTCGACTGTTTTATATGGAAGTTAGTCGGTTCAAAAGATCGCAGCCTTGCATTCTGTCACGATTTCATCAGAAATGGTTAACACTGTGAAATCACTTCTAGAAATTAGTGGGAATGCCAATGTCCAACATTACTCACCCCATCAGGGATCTCAAAAATCAGATTAGATGTCATCAATATGACTGGCTCTATCCTTCATATTCATATTCAAATGAGGATCTACCATTTGAAATACTTAGCATTATGAAACAGGTTTGACACAGTTATTTATTGTCTTGTGTTATAATGTTAAACATCATATCCTGTATTTTATGTTTTATGGACAACTGTATGATGTTAGAAAATGAATAAAAATAATTTAAAAAAGAGAAAGAAACAGGGACAAGTTCCCTGCCAAGGGATTAAGTCGAGAGCCTTGCTGTGTGCACGCGTGCGTGAGAACCCCAGCGCTCACCTCCTCTTCCTGTGGCCCTTTCCCCAGGTCCAGGTGCTCCTGTACTACTTGCAACACTCGCCCATCACCTTTGCCGAGCTCAAGCGCAACACTCTCTACTTCTCCACGGATGTGTAGTCCCTGGCTGCGCGGTCTAACGGTGGCCCACGTTCTCCGAGTGAAGGGACGCAACGGCGCAGACTTGGCATTCTGTCCCCCCCCCCCCCCCCCCCGGACTGTGCTGAGGACGTCGTGCTGCCCTGGAATGGTCGCTGCGCATGCCACCTGGACCATTTTGTACAAACGACCGGCCAGCCCTCCACTTTCCGGCACGGGATTCCGCGTCTCTCGGGCATTCGTATTGATACTCAGCAGTGGTGGACAGGAGCGAGCGACAGACGAGGACGGAGGGCGAGGGGAGGGGAGGGCTCTACGGTCCATCTGTGTCTTTGTATAATGTCATCTTCTAACAGAGCTTCACTGTAACCGAGTCTCCCGCCACCCCAGCCTGCTTCGCCTTGCTCCAGCCTACAGCAGCACTTGTCATTTTCGCCCTTCTCCCTTGTGGCCTGCATGGGTGGTGCCTCTCTTAGATTTTCCCATTTCAAAGGCTCGGAGGAAACCAAGGGCTCCCCCCCCCCCGCTTTTCTTTCTTTTGGCTCTGTTCCTCCCGGCTTGTCTTGTGCAGATGGTGGATCCAGTGGCTGAATTCTACATTCTTCTCTCCTCCCCCTGCCAGCCAGCCAGCCTTGGACTGTGAGAGCTGAGCATGGAGAGCCAAAGGTGGTTTTCTCAACGCCCCGTCCGCTCTAGGTTGCTGTTCTGATGCTGGGGGAGACTTCTCCGGTGATTCCTGCCTGTTGGGTGTTTTTTTCTTCTTCTCTTTGGGCGGTAGCTGTGTGTTTGGGGAGGTACGGATTCATTCCTTCGGTTCATTTTGTAAAGCGGTTTTAAGGGTACCCCGCTGGAGGGAGGGAAGGTGGCTTTGCTTGCTAGATTTAAACATGGCTGGATGCTCTGTGTGTGCGCGTGCGTGTGTGCACGTGTGTAAGTGTATGCTCTTCCCTGGCTTGGTTTCCCCTTCCATTTATTTATGATGACTTCTCCTGGGACTAATTCAGTCTCGATCTCTTGCGAAAGAGGGCCAGTCTTCCGGTGGCAGCCTGAGCGTTTCCCAAAGAACGTTGACAGGATGAAGACACATTAGGAGGACGGGAAGGGTGCTGACCCACCCAAGGGTGCAGGCCTCACCCGATGCCTTTGCCTTCTTCTGCCTGCACGCGGCCCTCCCCAGCCCAGAATTGCCACGGAAGCAGCTGGTCTTTCCTGGCTGTCTCTTCCAGACGCGTTCCATGACACGGTTGTAAGGACACCGGGGCCTCTCTCTGTCTTGCCCAGCACTACCACAGGATTTGTCTAGGTGGGCCTCAGTGGCAGCCGAGGCACCGATGCTTTAGGCCCTCGACGTTTCAGTTTTCTCTCTGTGATAAGTAAAAGGTGGGTGGCTGAAGGTAAGGACCCTCGGGGGCTGCCTTGGGCCTGCCAGAACAGGTACGATGCTGGCCTTCTCAGTGGGGGAACAGGTTATTCTGCCTTGTTCTCAGAAAGCCTCCATCCTGGTCACGGGACAGGCCGGAGACCAGTTTTGCAGAATGGATCCTGTGCTCCATTTCCCCGGGATAACTTCCTCTGCTTGGTTGGAAGCCTTCAGGGAAAGGGGCTGTTTGGCTCCCTTCCCCATAAGGAACACGGCTGCCTCGCGTGTTCTTTGACAAGACACTCGATTTCTGGGTCCAGACCTGGCTCTACGCCTAGCAGAGCCCTCTTGAAGGTTCATAGCCTACTTCGGGGTAGGAGTAACAAAAGAAGAACTTCCTCGTCCACCCTAGAATCCTAAGCTGCTTTGATCCTGCTTCTCCCAGCTGAGCTGGAGATGATGTGGCACGGTTCAGGGACCAGAGATTTTCCTTGCCAACCAGGCTTTGTACCTGGGTGAAGTTTTAACCCCTACTGCACAAGAGAGCTTGGTTGGGCTGCATACACCTGAACACACGTCTGCAGCAGACCGAGAAGATGGGAGCTCGACACCCCTCCCCCTGTCTTAAGTGGCTAAATCTGATACCAGCAGAGACAGAGAGAGACACACACACAACTACAGTTGTTCTTTTTAATCTCAGTTTTTTCTGGGGGGAGGCAGGAGACTACAGCTCCTGGAGCTACAACTAAACTAGAAAACTGTTAATATTTGACTTAAGGATATATTTTCTAAATATATATATATATATATATATATATTTTTGGCTGTGTTCTGTTTCAGGTTTTTTTCCCCTGTAGATGACAAACTTTAAATGGCTGTAAACCATGTGAGGAGATTAAAAAAAAAAAGTTAATAAAATGCAAAGTCCAGATATTTGCACAAACGGACACCTACGGAGCTGTTGTGTCGGTTGTCTCCAGAGCAGTAGCCGCAATGATTCCGTGTCGTTGGACAGACCCGTGTGCAGATATCACGCGGAGTTGTCCCAAATGCCCCAGGTTTGGGCTCCCCCACTCCCTCGCCTGCAGCACTTCAGACCCTTGCCAGGGTGAGCCGGCGCTGTTTTCGACCTTCTCGTCTCAAGACCTGTGCCGGGTAAAGAGGCCGTGCCAGCGATGCAGGCCAAAGTGAGGATGCGGCTTTTGGCACAGAGCTGCCCTTACCTTCATGGAGAAGGGGGGAGTGCCCTCGACTCTGGTATGACGACGCTGTGGAAGTTAGGATGTTGGGCAATAAAACAATGCAGAAACAATGGTGTTGAGAGAAATCGGGTCGGGAGGGGGTCACAGGAGGCCATCGATCGGGAGGTGGGAAAGCGCAATTATGCTACTTGGCAACCGCAGTTCTTCTCCTAGGCAACACGTTTCTGCGTTGCCATAGGGACGCTGCCCGAGTCCTCCCTTCTGTTGGCCGACTTGCTCCAAGTCTGGTTTTCCAATCTGTAAATTGACAAAGGGTTTGACGAAATTTAATGCAAACCCTCCCCCCCCCCCAATAGCTTAGAGGAAGTCAGGATCGATCGTGTGGGATTTGGGGGAGCTCCCTGCTCTCCCTTGCCTCTGTGGATGCTTCCCTCTGACTTCCTTGCTCTAGTTGGACCAGTGGAGACTGGTGCCATATTTTTTGCATCCTGTCCTTTCTCCAACGAGCCCCCAAGGTCACCCACTGAGCATCATGAGGATTTGAAGCTGGGTGCCTGGCAGGGGTATAACCAGATGGATCGGGAGATTCTCATGCCAAGAAGCAACACTCTTTTCAGTCTGTGCTCATCTACAGTATGTGGGTGACACAGAAGGATCTGAATGAATATCGGGTATATTCCATGAATTTTTTTAACATATATCCATTACTACTGATTCCAGTGGCAAAGAGTTCCACAGGTTACCAGGGAAAAGATGTTAACTTTAAAGTTATGACCCTTTCACAAAGTCAACATTTCAAATTGGTGTGCAGCAGCAGTGGAAAAAAAGCAAACTGTATAGAAGAAGTATAGAATATGTATAGAAGAAGGATTGGATTTATACCCCACCCTTCACTACCTGAAGGCATCTCAGAGCAGCTTACAATCTCCTTCCTTTCCCGTCCCAACAGACACTCTGTGCGGTGGGTGGGACTGAGAGACCTCTCCTGAGAACTGCCCTTGAGAGAACAGCTCTGAAAGAACTTATGACATCCGAAGTCACACCAGCAGCTGCATGTGGAGGAATGGGGAATCAAACCTGGCTCTCCCAGATTAGAGTCCACACTCCTAACCACTACACCAAACATAGGAGTTTTATGCATGGGGTAGAAAAAGTACATCGAACTTTTTCCTCCCTCTCCTGTAATATTAGCAGGCAGGGGCACCCAATGAAGTTGTGAAATTCCCTGCCAGGGGACATAGAGACAGCCATGAGCATTGATGGCTTTAAAAGGGCATTGGATGGCTTCATGGAGGAGAGGTCCATCAGGGGCTTACTAGCCATGGTGCCTAAAGGGACCCTCCATATTCAGAAGCAGTAAGGCTCAATGCCGGTGCTAGGAGGCAGCATCTCTGCCCTGTTTGTTGGCCACTGAGAGAAACAAGATGCTGGACTGGATGGACCACTGACCTGATTCAGCAGGGCCACAATTAGCTCAGTTTGCTTCTGCCTATCATCTTCCACCAGGTAGTGACGGGCTTCCCAGAGCAGGGTTTAGTATTGATGTGCCGGGCTATAACTTTGAGTATCCCTAGCGCAAGACGGGAAGTGTCCTTTTTTAAAAACTGATGTGCAGCAGTTGCGAGGACTAGCTTGTTCAAGCCTCATCATCCCCCCTTCCTTTGTGCATTCTCCACGGTTCTTTATGGCTTTGTATCAAATGTATTTCAGTGCACAACTGACATAGTACAGTCTCCACTACAGGAAGTTGCAATGACAACATTTTACTCTCTGTTGAAACTGGAGAGGTCTTAAGTCCTGTCATTGACTTATACCTCCATTGCCCTCATTCAAGGGGCTCCCAGTAACGTACGGCAGTTGAGTACCATATCAGCCACCTTCTAAAAGTGTGACCTTGAAATGCTAAATCTTGTGCACACTGTAAAAAGGTAAAGGTTCCCTTGCTCGAAAGCCAGTCGAGTCCGACTCTAGGGTTGCGGTGCTCATCTCCGTTTCCAAGCCGAAGAGCCAGCGCTGTCCGAAGACGTTTCCGTGGTCATGTGGCTGGCATGACTAAACACCAAGGAGCACGGAACGCTGTTCCCTTCCCACCGAAGTGGTACCTATTTATCTACTTGCAATTTCTTGCTTTCGAACTGCTAGGTTGGCAGGAGCTGGAACTAGAGATGGGAACTCACTCCATCATGCGGCACACTCGGGTCTCGAACTGCTGAACTACTGACCTTCCACAGCCTGCAGTTCAGCGTCTTAACCACTTGAGCCACCGCAGCTCCTTGTGCACACTGTAGAGGACAGCATATTCTCATTGAGCTAGCCACTACAACCCCAAGATCTCTTTTGATCTTGGTCTCAGCTAATTCAGTCCCCATGAGCATATTATCTAGTTAGGATTTTTTGATCCAGTGTGCATAACCTTACGCTTAGCCCTACTGAAAAACATTTGCCACATTTGTTGCCCACTCTGCCAATTTAGAGAGATCCGCCTGTAGCTCTTTGCAATCTGCCGTGTTTTTCATCATCATCTTCCTTAATTCGTTCTCTGCAGTCTCAGCTGCTGCTACACTGCTCCTTCCTGCAATTCCAGATCGTTTATGAACAAAATAGCACTGCCCCCCCACACCAATCCTGGTAGGCCACCCCACTGCTCATTTCCCTCCACTAGCAGAACTGTATCCATTTATTCACATGGGGGGGGGGGGGGGGTACTTGTGAGGAACACCTGCACCTAACTTAATGTTCTTATTCACACACTTGGTTGTTCTAAACCTGGCTTGAACTAGCTCACGGGACTTTTAAGTCACTTCAGACAGCCGGCTGCTTAGGGTCTCCAGATGAAGGGAGGGCAGTTCCTGCATTTGGGAAAGCATCTCCAGTGGGTTGGTCCACCTGTGCGCACGGCGGGGGCAAGGGTATGCCCAGCTCTCCTGATCTGCGGGCCTGGATGGTGACAGTTTTGTTAGCTTAGCTGAGTTTTCCAGAAGCCCAACCTCTCTCTTAGAAAATGGCACAAAACCAGGTGTTCTTAAAGCGTTGAACTGATTCAAGGACAGCGTGGCGTCAAGGCACAGACCACAACTCATTGATTCCAGATTCCTAGTCGGGTACACAGAAGCTGCTCGCCACAGGCTCTCAGTCAGAGGAGTGGCTGCATCTGCCATTTTTTATTTTTTGCGGGGGGGGGGGGGGGTTTACCGAACACAGCTAGGGGCAGCTACCTGGATGACTGCAAGCCCTGTTATAAGACCACCAGAAGGGGGAAGCTTCCCTAACTGGTGGCACAGAGAGCAGCTGCCTCTTCCTGGGGTATCGGGAGGAAATTATTTATTTGTCTAATTTATACCCTAACCCTACCCCGCAAATGGGCTCGGGGTGGCTTACAACATAAAACCATCAGACAATAAAAACAACAGAACAATACATGGCAGCAACAGATGATTAACAAAAACCCATGCCTCGGGTCAGGCAAGGAATAAGCAGGTAGTCCAACAAACTCCAGTGCCTAATTAATTTCCAAAAACCAAGGGCACTGGGAAGAAGAAGAGAAGAGATTGGATTTATAGCCTGCCCTTCACTCAGAGCGGCTTACAAAATCCTTTCCCTCCCCCTCCCCAGAACAGACACCCTTTGATGTAGGTGGGGCTGAGAGAGCTCTTGACAGAAATGTCCTTGAGAGAACAGCTCTTGTCAGAACTATGGCTTGCCCAAGGTCAACCAGCAGCTGCAAGTGGAGGAGTGGGGACTCAAACCCGGTTCTCCCAGATTAGAGTCCGCACACTTAACCACTACACCAGACTGGGAGGGGGACCACGGACAGAGGAGGCCAGAAGGGTTGTATGCCTGCCCCCTCAACCAAAGGCCTGGAGGAACAGCTCCATCTTACGGGCCCTGCGGAACTGCAGGGGCCCTGGTCTCAAGCGGGAGTGTGTTCCACCAGGCTGGGGCAAGGGCTGAAAAAGATTTAGATGACTTGTACCAGGGCTCTTTCTGTAGAAAAAGCCCAGCAGAAACTCATTAGCATAATACGCCACACCCAACAGCAGGAACTCATTAGCATATTGGGCAACACCCCTGACAGCACCGCTCATTAGCACATTAGGCCACACCCCCATGTCACCAGAAGTGTGGTCATCCAGCCACACCCACCTTTTGCTTTCTGTTTACCTTGTTTGTGGTCAAAACCCAGGGCTTTTTTGTAGCAGGAACTCCTTTGCATGTTAGGCCACACACCCCTAATGTAGCCAGTTCTAATGAGTTTCTGCTGTTGGGTGTGGCCTATTATGCTAATGGGTTCCTGCTGGACGTGGCCAACTTGGGAGCCAGCCGGAACTCCGTTCCTGTGCGTCCCTGCCCAAAAATAGCCCTGCTTGTACCTACCTGACAGTGTGAGGGAGGCAATCGCCCCACCCTGTTTTCCAAAACAGGCAACACCTATCGTAAATTAGAAAGCTGTCGTTCCCAAATCCATTTTCCAAACTGTTCCTCTATTTTCTCCTGAGGGTTTGGTGCCATAACAGGTAGGGCTGGGTAATGCCATGCTGTCAAGGGGTGTCACTTCACTGTGCTCATTCCCCTTTATACCCTGCTACTTGCAGCCTGCCCGCAGCTAAGAGGGGATGTGTTTGAGCTAAAGACATTTGAGAACTTCCCAGGAAGTCTGCTAGAGCAGACGAAGAGACCATCTAAGCCAGCCACCTGGGGCGAGTGGGATGCCTTCAGAAGGCACAAGCACAGAGCCTGAAGACCAGACCCCCCTTCCATCCAACATCTGGCATTCAGCACTGCTCGGCCACTGAACAAGAGCTTCTACTTCGCTCTCATGGCTTAATCAATGGGTAGCCAACCTTATCTCAAGTAATCCTCTTTTACAGCCACCCAAGATACTTTCGATGGAGGCAAGGCAGCATGGTATAGCCAGACCTCGGAAACTAAGCAGGGCCGGTACTCGGAAGGGAGATCTCCAGGGAAGACTCTGCAGAGGAAGGGGATGGCCAACCACCTCTGCTTCTCACTTGCCTTGAAAGCCCCTTGCTGGGGTCGCCATAAGTCAGCTGCAATTTGATGGCACTTTACACACACACACACACACACACACACACACACACAAAATACTTTTGAATGCTTCCCACCAAGTAGCTTCAAGATCCTTCCAGTGACTTTGAATGATTGTCCTGATTTTATTTGGTTGTTGCACGACAACTTGAAAATCGCCTGGAATAAGTTCAGTCCTTACATTTTCTCTTGTGTCGAATTCGGTAACGATTCCATGAGTCTGCTTTTGTGGCAGGCAGCAGGCTTGCCACAGCAAGCACACGCGCACAGAGGGAATCAAGTGAACAGCATATGCTGTGATCCCTCGAGTTCACAATCACGATGTCTCTCCAGCAATGACTGGTCATTGCTTGACGGAGTCTGACTCTGCCCACAGGCTCCATGCTGAGGTGGGGGAAGAGATGTGTCCGCCTTCAAGGAAACCAACCACAACACTTGCTTGCTTGCTGGGAAGACCAAAGCTAGTTGTGCCAAGTGGTCCTCCACTCCTTATCCCAGAAAGTCCTTCTTTGCTGGCTCCAGCTGCTATCGTAAGTAATAGTCAATCACTGCAGAGAACGCGGCAAAGCCCCCGCAGCCAAGGACCCCTGCTTTTAAGCCAGCTGCAAGGCAAGAGAGGAAAGCTGTTAGCCCAGTGACATCTCTTCAAGTGCCTTACCCAGCACTTAGCTAAGCCTGCAGAGCAGATGCAACCCCAAGAGGCCAGATACTAGCCCTTGGCACTCTTATTTTAATCCTACGGAGGCCCTGAAGTGCTGCACTAGAGCAAGCTCTTTGGTGTAGAAAAGGAGGGCAGAACTCAAGCCCCGCTGGAAACGGGGTCCGCAAGAGCAGGAGGTGGCTCCTGATTTCCAAAGAAGTTTAAACCGATTGAGCCCAGGATAACAAGCTTAGACAGAGAATGTTCAAAGAACCGTTTAATGATCTTATAAGGAAGATTAAAACTCGGGGGGGGGGGTGTTAGGGCAAGTGAAACCACACTTTTTTTAAAAAGCTGCCTCGTGCCAAACAGGCCAAACCACACAGTGCTACACCAGCTGCATTCTAATGACTGAAACGGGGTTTTTCAAGCCCTGAGGGTTCTTCAGTGGGAAACTCAGTAATGGCAGAGCAGCTTCCCTAAAGGTCAGCTTGCCTGTCTGGGCAAATCTGCCGCCTGCAAGGTGCAGCCACATTTAAAGCTCAATGACATCCTAGAATTTTAAATCCTCTGCAGCATCCAAGGGCTCTCTGGCACAGGCGCTTGGGTTCCTTAAGTAGACAGGCCAGTACAGAAAGGTAGAAAATGGTCTAAAGGGATTTTTCTTTCTTTCTGTGTAAGCACCACTGAAGTGCCTGGGGGGCAGTCACTGTTGTACCACACAAACAATCCAGTCTGCAATAGTCTCTCGTAGCCCTGAAACTGCTCAGGGGTCATTACTTACCCCTGAAACCGATTGCGCCTCCGGTAATACACCCGCTCATGACACTGTTCTTCCAGTCAGATTTCCCTCGGTACTGGGGAAGTGGAAAAACATGATGTAAAGACCAACTATGTGGAACTGGGCCTTTTAGTACAGCATCCATTTGCCACCAATAGCCAACTGGATGCCAAGGCAGCAGCCTTTCTCCCGTGAGAAGCATGCTAATCAGTTATGGGGGCTTCCTTTTTGCAAATCAGGTGTATGACACATCGATGTCTTCAGGCTTTTTCATGCCCTCAGTGCTATAAGCCATCATCTTGTGGCACTGAATACCACAAGCAGTGTTCCCTCTAAGGTGAGTTAGTCTGAGCTAGCTCACAGTTTTCTAACCTCCGGCTCACACATTTTTCTCTTAGCTCAGGAAGAATGGCTCCAGAGCAAACTAATTTATGCAGCAGCCAAACCCCTGCTCATAGCTTTAATGCCAGGAGCTCACAAAGTGGAATTTTTGCTCACAAGACTCTACAGCTTAGAGGGAACATTGACAAGTGAATTGTGTGCTAAGAAACACATCTGTCCCCCCCCGTCCCAAAACTCCTCCTGATCTATTTATTTGGGTGTATTACAGAAGAGGGTGGGGACAAAATCTCCCAGTCCACCTTCTTCCCAGCATGTGTGAACTCAGGAGGACTGCTGGCCACATTACTGACCTGTGGCCATGTCTATAGTGGAGGAGGCGGCTTCTGAAAACTGGATGCTGAAACCCAGAATATCAGTTGCTCGTTATCACCCCCTCATACATTTTTAGGAGAGCCTATCCAAGAGGCAAACGTTGAAGGACTGTTTCTCCCTCATTTGAATGCATTCACTCATTGCAATCCTTGAGCCCTCCTCTGCTTGCTGCTCATCCACTATGAGTCCAAGATGTTACTTGTCCCACATCAGTGTCCTTCACGTTTGTGGCACCAGCCTTATGGAGCAGCCCCGTTAAGGGTGGTGAGGGCAACCTCCACTTTTATAACATTTAGGAGGAGAGAAAAACAGTTTGGAAGGGCCTTCCAGTGATGTCTCTGGCTGTTAGTTTTTTTGGAGGCAACTCAAGTTATTTTATTTATTTTGTTTTATTACTTCAAATTTTACCCCGCCCTCCCCACCGAGGCAGGCCCAGGGTGGCTTACATAAAACCAATAAAACAATAGGCCTATCACAATAAAATACGTAAGACATAATTTAAGACTGTTAATATGTCAATGATGGTACAGTATAGTAAAGTGCATTCATGAACACGTTCAGCGGTGGATACCATTCTAGGTAGCTTCTAGCTCTAGGTCTGCACAGGGTGTTGATAAGGTGCGGCTCCTATCGAAATGCCTGCCGAAAAAGCCCCATTTTCACGGCCCTCCGAAACTGTGAGAGGTCCCGCAGGGCCCTGATCTCACCAGGGAGCTCATTCCAATAGGTCGGAGCTGCCAAAGAAAATGCCCTGGGCCTGGTCGATGTCAGCCTGGCGTCCTTCGGACCAGGGAGGGCCAAACGGTTTTGTGATCCTGATCTCAGTGCTCTCTGGGGAGGTTATGATTTCAAATTGGTGAATCGATGTTGCTGTTATTTATTCGTTCATTTTTATTTTATTTATTTAATTTATATCCCGCCCTCCCTGCCAAGGCAGGCTCTGATTACTGCCAGTGGGCACTTTGCATAAGCCATGCTGGGCTCAGTGGGGGGGAAAATGGGATCCAGCTATGTCAAAGGGATATGAAACTCATCCAAATACATTAGCTACTCACAGACTCCACTAAGCATTCAGTGCAGGAAAACATGGCGCCCACGATGGCAAAGTTCTTGGCATAGGACATTCCTCTTTGGCCCATGTCTTTCAAAACTTCCCTTGCAGTCGGTGTGCGATATGGATCCTTGGGGTCGAAGCCCACGTTGGTGTCGATGCCAGCTGTGAAAATGCCAAAGGCACCCCCCAGCACAAACCCTGCCAGGAAAAGCAAACCCTCTCTGTCAGTTGCAGCCAGCTGTCCAGTCCAATCTTTCTTACCCCCCATCACATCCCAATTCGGTTTCTTCTACAGCTATCTAATCTCAAGTAGCCCCTATTAGATACTGCTTTTCACATCTGTTCTCCCAGAATGTGGGTGTGAGAAACTGTTGGAAGGTCTAATAATCCACAGTAAGAGCTATCCACCTGCTCATAATAATAAATATCATGGCATAATAGATCCTGTAAGGTTTTATACCATTTAATTTAAAATTACCCAGTATTTACAACATGTATGTTATACACTTATGCGTTGCTTTTTGACTTTAGAAGAGACTGTATGAAACGGTACGAGGGAATATAAAAAGCAGAAAGGTAGGATATTCAAACACAAACCGTAGCAGCATCTGAAAAACCAACAGCATATTCCCGCATAAGCATCTATGGACTACAGCCCATTTCACTGCATCTGACAACTTTCACAGAGCTGTTTTGCTCCCCTTGGGCTCTTGAACTGGAATGGGGAGGGGGGAGGGTTGGTGCATGCACACCAATGCTCCCTCTAAGCAATGGAGTTCTGTGAGCAAAAATTCTACTTTGTTAGCTACTGGCATTAACGATGTGAGTGAGCAATTTGGCTACTGCATAAATTAGTTTGCTCTGGAGCCATCCTTCCTGAGCTAAGACAAAACTGTGTAAGCCAGAGGCTAAAAAACTGAGCTAGCTCACACTAACTTCCTCCAGCTGTTCTTCCATTGCTTCCCCTGATTTGTTCTGATGTTTTTGGAACGACTGGAATCGAAGAAACTTTGTCCACCATGTGGATGGGAAGATGCGGATTTTCAAACCCACATGCACATGGGAGCCATTTCACCCCCATATCGCCTGGCACCCACTATGTGTCCACTCCAGCCGATAGCAATATACCCAAGGTGTTTTTTAATTTAAAAAATAATAATTTTAAAAAACCAGGGGTCATTTCTTGCAGGAGCGGAGCTCCGGCAGTAAAGAGCCCAGGGGGCGGGCACATGCAACAAGCCCCACCCCCTGCTCCCAGCAGCCCTCAGTCAGAGCAAGAAGCAGCCAGGTAAGTTGCAGAGCTCCCCTGGCCCCCCGGTCCAAAACAGTCCAGTGGCACCGTTAAGACCAAGTTTTATTCAGGTACAAGTTCTCCCTCCTCTGCGAGGACAGATCTGCACGTCCCCCACCACCACCACCACAATAGCTGGCAATCCAAAACAGTCCAGTGGAGCCTGAGTGGTGGGTGTCATCTTCTGACACACTTCCAGTGATGTCAGGAAGTGCGGCATATGTAAATAAGTTATGCTAATGAGTTATGCTAATGAGCTCCTGCACCTCTTTTTGTATGAAATGACCTCTGAAAAAAGATATCCCTTCCATGGCATGTGGGAAAGAAATGGCAAGTACAAGTGGGTGGCCAAGCAAAGTACCTAGAATACACCCTCCAAAACGTGCACACACTGTTGCAAATGCCTCTATGCATTTGCAGGATCAATGCCTGTGTGCGCGATGGTGAACGGCCACCATGTGGACAGAAACAGCCTAGGGTTGCCAACTCCAGGTTGGGAAATCCCTAGAAATTTGAGATGACGTATGGAGATAGGGATTGGGAAGCAAGATGAACAGGCAGGTGATGCCATGAAGTCCAACCTCTGAAACTGCCGTTTCCTCCAGGTTCCATTCCGGGAGATGTCCAGGTCCCACCTGGAGGCTGGCAACCCCGGTCATTTGGGGGGTATTCCAAACCCTCCCCCGGGGAAGAAAGCGAGAGAAGTACTCGCGAGGGACGCTCTTTCTTCCCACCCTAAAAGACCCACCCCCGACGCAGGCCAGCGTCGCCTTGAAGCCGCAGCTCTCCATGGCCCGCTCGACCATCTTCTGCTCGTCGCTCTTGGCCGGCACCGGGAAGCCGCCGAGGGAAGCCGGGTCGAAGGCACGGGCCTGCCTCGGCCCGCGCTTGTCGCCCACCAGGTGCTCCAGCAGGAGGCTGTACTGTAACGTCGGGACTGTCTCCGCAGCATCGTGGGCGGCTTCGGGCCTAGCCGGGTTTGAACTGGAGGCCGCCATCACATCCTCCTTTCTCTCACAACACAGGGACTGCAGGTCCCGTTATACCGTTCGCGGCAGCGTCCGTCTGTCCCAATGGCGCTTTCCCGCAATGCTCCATGGGTGATGTGGTCCACCTCAACTCGCGACTCAAACGTTCTTTCCCCACTTTTCAAGTTCTGTTTAAACGTTTTTTTTATTTTGATTCATTGTTCATTATATATTTATTTGTATTATTATATATTTATTTTTGTTTATGGGTTTTTGTTCACGTCTTATTTTAAGTTATTCATGTCATTCTATTTTAAACAAAATTAAACCGCCTCCTTCGAGGCTGCGCTGCGCAAGCGCCCTTCCTCGAGGACACCAAAACTTCATCTCCCAGCGTACCTCTAAAGCACAACGGCTATCGCTTCGCGGATAAGAATTATGGGGTTTGTAGTTTTTAGCTGGCAAAAGGCTAAGTCCTTGACCTGCGCGAGGAGGCCCCCTGCTGGACCTCTTAGGATCCGTTGCCGGCGCGAGAGTTTGCGAAGGACCAGCCGGGAGCATCCTTGGAAGACACAGGTAAGGAGGCTGCAGGGGAGG